CTCCTCCTCCCATGACCCTCACCTGTGCTCCTCCTCCCATAGCCCTCACCTGTGCTCCCACTGGCCTATRGTCCTCACCTGTCCTCCTCCTCCATGGCTCGYACCTGTGCTCCCACTGGCCTATGGTCCTCACCTGTCCTCCTCCTCTCATGGCCCTGACCTGTGCTCCCCCTAGCCCATGGCTCTCCCCTGTCCTCCTCCTACCACAGCCCCCACCTGTGCTCCCTCCACCACTCTTCACGGGCGGCTCCTTCTCGGGGTCCAGGTCTACACTCAGGCCCTTCTTGGTGATTCTGAATTGCCCCACGACACACACGCCTGCCTTCCCCGATTCCCACTGCTTCTTTCTCCCTCCCACTAGATGGGAACACCCCTAGGGCYGCGTGTCTTATCTCCTGCTGCCTCTGTGCCTAGAACAGCAGGTGAATGGCTGAGAACGGTCTCTTCCAGCTCTCTCCCGCCCCTCCGGCCGGCAGCTCCTCCCTAGCAGTCACCCCTGAGTGGTGAGTCGATGGCAGAGGGGGCTCACCCAGCTGGACGAGGTAGTAGACGGTGAGCAGAAGCTGCATCTCCTCCGAGATGGGCTGGATGCTGGAGGCTCCGCACTGTTCGTACGCCCTGGAGATGGACTGGGAATTCTGGTAGCAGGTGTACAACAGGGGGCTGACCACCACGTCGCTCAGGTTCCCGCAGAGGTAAGGGAAGTTCCCGTGGCCTAGGAAAGAGACAGCAGCCACCTGGCAACCGGCCTCAAGCGAGCTATGGGGTCACAGAGCGAGGTGGACTGGGGAGCTGCCCCGGGTCTCCCAAGTGCCCCTTTCCATCCTGCTCTGCCCTCCTGGAACCTAGGACGACAGTCATGACCTCTGATGACCAACCACTCGCCTGTTCATTTAGTCCAAGCACAGAGAGGAGCAGCTCCCCCAGAGCCAGCAGCAGTGACCAGGACGTCACTCCTCGGCAGTGACCTTGGGGCACCTCACGTGCTGCCCTGCTGGGTCTCTGGTGGGTGCTGCTTGCCCGTCCTTGCCTTCCTGGCACCCAGGGCCTCTCTGGCCAGCTGAGTTAGGAGAACATGTCACTGTCCCGGGAAACTGACAGCCCTTGACCAAGGCTTCCGCTAACGTCATTCTGATGTCAACTCTCAGGGGCAGAACTGCCCAGCAGGGTCCAAGCGCCTCTTCATCATCACGGTGTCGTGACCCTGTGTGTGCAGCTCACCTCTCTAAGCCTGGGTCTCCCCATCTATAAAGTGGGGTGGAGACATGGGTGCTCGTGGGGTGGCTGACGTAAATGGGAACCAAGCGTAAATGGGTGTGGTCTCTGGCACCCGGAAGGTTCCCYGTCTTGACAGTTATTGAATCCCACCGGGTCCTCGTCACAGGTCTTGTGCCAGGCTCCAGAGTCACACGTCACGTCCCTGAGCAACGCTTGCCAAGCCCCACCAGGTTTCCGTTTCAGAATTTGGGCCTAGTTCTCAGGGGGTGGACCTCCAATGCACAGCTCTGATGAGCCCCTGGGTGGTGCTGGGTCACTGGACAGGGAACACAGGTGGGTCACCATGCTCACCTGGTGGCTTATTAGAGACCAGGTAAAGAGCTACCATAAAAGGATGTGACATTTGTCCCAAAAGAGGCTCAGAAAAGCTGCCGTGGGAGCCCGCTGGGCCTTGAAGCTGCTGGGGTTTGGATACCTGGYGGTGGAGTCAGGAGTCCAGGAGCAAGTGCTTCCCACGGAGGGCCGCAGCTTAGACAGGGGCAGTGGAGGGCAGAGCGCAGGAGAGGAAAAAGAGGCCGCACTCCGAGACCCTTAAGTGTCGCAGGGATCCCCTCTCTGGGGCTGCTGGCTCAGGTGGGGGAAGCTCTGCCACACCTCTGAGCCCCCAGCCTCACCTAGCACCGTGTTCTCAGCGCCAACTGCACACACACATCAGCCGAACGCTGGCCAGTGAGCCAGCAGGGTCCGGGGAAGCACCCTAACCACAGGCCCTGCCTCCTGCCCAGTCCTCAGCCCAGATTTGTACCCCACTTCCTCAATTTCATGTCCTTTTTTTGTTCTTGGTTTTTGGGTGGTTTTTTTTGGAGGGGTGGATATTTCTTTGTTTTAGGGGGAAAAAAAAGAAGAAGAGCCTTTTGTTAGTAAACCAAATGTACCCAAGGCCCTGCGTGCGCGCGCACGTGTATGTGTGTGTGTGTGTGTGTGTGTGTGTGTGTGCGCGCGTGCACACACCCGCGCGCTCAACTACATGCGGCACACTGCCCTTGGGGCACCATCAGCAAGTGAGACCCCCTAAATCCTCACACAGTTTCCCATTTCAAGGTCTCAGACTTCACTGGAAAGGGGTTTCCTTGAGGAAGTCAAAAATCTACTTCCTGTAGCATACGTCAGCCACGGCGTGGAACAGATCAGATCTGTACAGTGGTGCCCAGGGCTGTCCTTGCCCAGTCAGAGTCAGTTGCGTACTAAAAAAAAAAAACCCCAATGGCTCTGGGTGACCACAGGACCAGCCACAGACCAGCGCTCCCTGAAGCAAGGGATACATCTGTCCCTCTCCTGGTCCCTGGTACTCGCACTGTGGGGCCTCCGGGGAGCTGAGCTGGGGAAGGACACATGAACAAGCGACCATAGGGCTGTCGTGAGTGAGACCCGGGGCTTGGGCCCCCTGTGGAAAGCCGACGAGCTCTGAAATCCCTGGCATGTGATCGGGGAGCCTGGGAGCTGGCTGCTTCCTTCTTTCATGGCCCTGTTARGCTTGTCTCCGGAGGACACGTGTGGAATCAGGTCACACTTTTGCCTGACTCTGGTGGCTTCTTCCAGCCTCCCACCTCCACAGCTGGGTGCGCGGCTGTACTTGCCTTTAAATATCACCGGCTTGGCCTTGCATATCTTCAGCAAGTTGTCAGGGACCGACACTGGTTCTCCAGAGGCCACAACGGGAAAGGAGACTGAGGCTGGTCCCACCAAGCCAGCCTGAGGCACACAGGACACACCTGCACCCTCTAGGAATATGCCAAGAGGGTAAGGAAGATGCATCAGATGAGGTGGCATACCCAACCAGCCCCACGTCGGCCGGCGAACAAAAATGCCCACTGACCCATACCCACATCAGCACCACCCTCCCCCTCCAAATGACCCGGTCCCCTCCTCTTCCACATCCAGTGAGTGGCACAGAAGCCACCTTTCAGACCTCCCTGGAATCAGGGCTGCTCTCCAGGACCCTGGGCCTGGTTAAAMAGCTAACATATGAGTAAGAAATCCTTTTGCCGTGCCAACGTGTGTCTCCCTGGAACCTGCTCCCCAAGGCCACACACAGTGGGCACGTACACACCACAGGAGCAACACCACCAGGGGTGCCCAAGAGCTGGGCTTTGGCAAGGCAGGTCACCTACCATACTTAGCTCTGTTCCCGCTACTCTGAGAGTAGCCGCCATCTGTAGCTGATGGAGATTCTGGAGACCACCCTTTGTGGCGTTTTTTGGGGGGCCCGGAGTTTGGCAAGATACCTAGACAATATTCAGAGCATGGATTAGGCTGTCATCAGAAATGAGCCTCAATACAACTGTCTTCTGGTTTGGAGAACATTTATTTAGTATTTTGGTGGAGGAACTTTGGAGAAAGACAATCACAGTTTTAAAATAGATTCTAAGTATCTAGGGAAGTATCTAGGTGAAAGGCAACATCCTTTCATTTTTTATAAATGTTCCACACTAAAGTTGTGCATGTGTTTAAGCTTTATCTCTGACCTCAACTCTTTCATCATTAAAACAGGATAATAAAACCTACTCTGAAAAGCGATTCAATCAGGACTAAAGAGAATATAGGCAATGTACTTTGTATACCTAGAAGATTGGGGCTCAATAAATGGYGGCCACCACCATCCTCATCATCACTGCCATCATTGTTATATAGATTGCAACATATTTTTGAAGAGTTGGATGTTTGTAGACCAGCAATCAACTGCAGCATTCAATGCACCACTGCACTATCACCACTCGAGGGCAGTATTGATCCACCGATGACTAACGCCTACCCAACCCCCACCCCAGGCAGGGAGCCTAGAAAACGAATTTCAGATGGGGAAAAATCCAGGAGGGAAGCTGGACCCACTGCAGCTCATGAGTCATTCCTGCCCACTCCAGGTAGCAGCATGTTCATGACTCAAGCTATGTATGTGAAGGATTCAAAATATCTAGATTGGGTTGCCAGAGTTTCTTGAACAATCTGACACAAAATGTCCCCTACATTCAGAGCTCCTGGTCTCAATCAGTCCTAAATACCCATTAAACTCACCTGAGAACTTTGCAAACTCCCTTTCCCCCAGTTCAGGACAGGGAGCCCAGGCATCCTGACTAGGAACTCCCCGCAGAGTCTAACCTGCAGCCAGGGTGGAGATGAGCCACCTGGGAGCCTGATTCTCAGTTTCACCTGAGAAGGAGTCACACTGGCCCTGGTGAGGTTCCTTAGAACTGCCCCTCGCGAGCCTCTCTGTGAGTTACAGCTGTGGAAGTGACGGTGAGAGAGGGCACCTGGGCCGCCTCCCAGGTACTCTGAAGCCCCTGTGATTTGAGAATGACTGCTTCAGAGTCTCTTGGGAGTAACCCCAAAATATTTCTACCTCTTCTTTAGACTGATCAAAACATAATAAAATGAACTGAGTAAAAAGTTAAAAGCAGCGCTGGGGCCGGGGCTCAGCGGTAGAGCGCTTGCCGAGCGTGTGTACGGCACTGGGTTCGATCCCCAGCACCACATTCAAATACTAACTAAATAAAATAAAGGTAATGTGTCCATCCACAACTAAAAATAAAAGTTAAAAACATGAAGTACTTTGCTTACAAAGAGCTTTAAGACCAGTGGGCTCCTTCATCATCCTGCCTAAGGCAGGGCCGCCTCCCCACATCCATCCTGGACACAGTGAAAGGGCTCCCACCCAACCTAGTGGCCAGGTCCTCAGCGCTGCACAAGGGGCCTGGACTGAGCCCTGGAGTGGAAGCCCTGAGAACTCCCCCACTTTGGGAAGCTTAACCCTAAATGACTCCAAGCTGACTCTAAGCCCATAAGCCCTTTCAAAACATCACCCGGAGTGACCACTGGTACGGCATGGGCCAACGATGTCTTACACCATCTCTGAAGAAAGGGCCAYTATCTGGCCTCTGAGGGAGGCAACTCTTACTGCAAGACGCTCCTTGCGGGACATTCGGCACCCGCCCAGCCCATCTCTGGAAATGGCGWAGGATAATCACTCAGCTCTTAGGAACCTCTGGTCCTGGAGAGCCACTGGCCCACATCCACAGCTGACTGGGGGGAAGGGCAGGGAGAGGACAGAGGAGAGGCAGCAGCAAGCAGGGTGTGGGCAGGAGGGCGGCCATCACGGGAAATGAGGCTCAACAGTCTGGCTGTCGACAGGTTCCAGAAGGGCTTAGGCCCATAGGGATTTGGGGATCTACGTTTCCCACACCCCTCCACGGAGTACGGCCCTGGAAAGTTCCTTCATTCTAGCCAAGAAGGCAACTCTCCCGGCTGGCTTCCCAAAGCCAAGGGCACAGGGTTCCAGGCMCAGGGAGGCCCTGGTCCCCCTGTGTGGGGTGGAGGATGGGCACCCACAGATCTCAGCTACAAGACGGAGCCACCTCCGGGGCCTTGGCCACTCTGAATTCAGCACCTGGAGAACAGTCGCAGGATGAGGGCGGGAGCCAGGCTGGGGCTCCTCCTACGTTTCAGGCTCTGGAACAGATGCCCTGGTCAGGACAGGAGCCCCAGACTCAACTCAGAAAATACATTTGCTCCCTCAGGGAAGGTTAGGACATCCACAGGATCACATCAGGGCTGTCCTCCCTGCCACAGTGGCGATGGACTCCAGCCCAGGCCTGCCTCTCTGGACCTCAGTCTCCTCCTCAGTCCGTGTGGGGCTGGAGGCTTCCTCAGGCCTTTCCACCTGGACGCCTGAGATCCTCACCTCCCCTTAGCTGTGTGCATGAAGGAGGAAGGACAGAGGGGACAGGCTTGTGAGGTGGTGGCTCTGGAGAAGCACTTGGGGAGAGCACGGGCCCATGACCTTCCCCCTCGGCCCTTGGCTGCCTCCTCTCGCCCACCTCCACCTCAGCCCGCTTCCTCCAGCGCCATCTGCAAAGAAGGCTCCCAACTCGGAGGCAGCTCAGCTGTCACCTCCTCCACCCTGGGTGGTGGCAGTGTCAGCCTCTGTGACACACTGGTGTGGATGGCAGCTGGTACCCCAGGGAGCTGCAGGTGTGTGAGGGGTCACAGCAGCTCCCCCAGCTGACCCTCCTGAGGTCCCCATCCTCTGACTAGCAGGCCACAGAGCTGGGTTTAAATCCAGATCCAGAACCTTTGTCAACACCACTGCCCCCATTTCTCCAAAATTCCACAGCCCTCCATGTGTGGTCCAAGAGAGGGGCCAGTCCCTGTCACCATGAGGGTCTCACTGCTCCTCGGCACACACAACGTCTCCCACGTGTGACTCTCACATAGCTCCAGGGCCCRGCACAGACCCCARATACAGGAGGCACCGCCAACCTGGCCTGATGCTCCTCCGAGCAACACGGGACTCCGGGAGGCTCAGCAGCCTCAGCTCTGAGTCTCCTTTGTCCCCGCTGTCCTGGACCCCGGGAGCCCTGGACGAGCACTACCTAGGGCCGAGGGCCGCGGCGGGGCTGACAGGCTGCTCTTGGCCAGYTGCTGGTGCTTGGGGGAATCTTTGCCGTTGAAGACAGCTGGGCCCGAGGCTGAGGTCAGCGAGGGGTGGTCGGGGGCTGGTCCTGGAGCAGAGAAAGGAGGGAGAAGGGTCAGTCCCCAGGATGTGCTGTGGGCGACACAAGCAGGAAATGGTTTTCTTCCACTTTTGTAAACTGCCTTGGTACTGGCCAGCCCCACCAGGAGGTCAGAATTTTAATTGTTATCCTTCATTCGTTTTTATTTTGCGTGTGGGTGGTGCGGGGGAGGGAGCCCAGGGCCTCGCTCCTGCAGGGGAGCTCCACACCCAGCCGCATCCCTAGCCCTAGAGGTGGGGATTCCTGATAGGGCGAGCCTGCCTCGCCTACAGGACAGGAGCACACACGCAGGCACGCTCCTGCTGGTGAGAAGCGGACACCGACTGGGTGAAAGGAGACCCAGGGAACATGAGCGGCCAGTGGCCCCCAGACTCCAGGGCCTCGCCTGACAGCTCCACCTCCTTCCACCTTCCTTTCCTCCCCTGGAGAAAGGCGCTGGGTTTGCAGCCTCCCGGGTCTGATCTGCTGTGGGTCCTGGGCTCCCCATGTCTTGGGACAGTTCTGGGGACCACCATGGGTTCAGGCCTCCYGCGCCTGCCTGACTGTACTGTCGAGTTGTGCAAGTCTCCAGAACGCTCTGGGAGGCTCTGGAGCCAGGAGCAGTGCTGAGTCTTTCCTGTGGGCACAGCTGCCCGTCAGGGGCTAACAGCAGGGTTCTGAAGCCAGGCGGCCTGGGGCTGAACTCAGGCTGTCCCTCACGAGCTGGGAGACCTGGGCCACTGACTCAACCTGCCCTACTTCCAGGTGCTCTCCATGAGCCAGGGTGGTGACAGCAGCAGCCCACGGCACTCCCTGCAGAGGACCTGAGTGAGTGGCTGGGATGCAGGTGGAAGAGAGCCTGGCACGAAGCGGGCACTGGGCATGCCCACTCTCACTGTGACCTCAGTTCTCATAATCACCCTGCAAACTAGACAGGAAGGGTGTCCCCAACATTACAGATGAGGAAACAGAAGACCCAAGGGCTTCAGTGAGCTACTGCAAGTCATTCAGCAGAAGGTGGCAGGCTAGAATGTAGGCCCAGGTGCTCAGGTGCAGAAACAGAAGACTCCTCAGTCCAGGTACAGAGGGGTTGGGCACACGGGCACAGGGAGGCAGCAAGGCCCTCAGCAGCTGCCATGTGGACTAGGCCCAGGGCCTCAGCAGAAGGGCACTTCCCCGCCCAGGAAGACAACCAGTGACCTTCCAGCATCCTGGAGAAGGCGGGTCTCTCTGGATAACAGCCATCCTGTTTGGAAGGTCTGTGGAGGGTGGCCAAGTGCCAAACACAGGAAATAGAAATGGCTGCTGTCAAGTCTCAGCTGCCTCCGCCTGTGAGGTCCTAGGCAAGCGACCATGAGTCTGGGTTTCCCAGTCACTGAGCTGCTCACRGGGCGCTTGCCAGGGTTGGATGAGACGCATGCAGATTGGAGCACAACCAGCACACGGTAAGTGGCAGCCACCTGGGCTCCTCTGCTCCTCCCAGAGAGGCAGCTCCGCCGCGGACTTGGCACCTGTTACGTGCTGAGTCCTGGGCTGCGAATCGGGGGTGCAGAGGGATCTGACCCCACCACCAAGGGATCACATTACACATCAAAGGGCAGAAAATTACAGATTACCAATTCAAAATGACACATGACATGGTGGGGGGGAGGCCACATGGGAGCCCACCCTCCATTTATTTTGCAGATGGTGGACTCCAGAGTGAACAGGCTCGAGGAGACACGTGAGGCCTGGGGTCTTGGCACCTGGGGCACTCCTCCACCGCCTCACCTGCCTGTTGGGCTCCCATCAGGACGCCGGGGTTCGTCCCAGGAACGGACTCRCTGGGGAAGGCAGCCAGAGGCCCCGAGCTGTCCAGCGGCAGGAAGAGAGAGCTGGAGCAAGTCCCAGCGGAGCTCTGCCGGCTTCTGAACTCTAGGAACAAGAAGCCCGCGTGAAACCAGCCTGCTCCTTTCCAACAGTTAGGAAGCGATTTCCTGGACTGGAAGGTGTCAACCAGGAGAGYGGGATGTGCAGACATCGATAAGAGATGCCACAGCACAAGGCTGGCCTTTGCTTCAGCACAGAGCTGGGGTGAGAGGGTGTGGCAGAGGACGGTCCTCCACCACGGTCCACGCCAAGGGACGACTTGGACAGTCAGGAGYGGGCGCAACAGCACACAGGTGGGACAGGCAGAGAAGTCAACCGCCCCATCTGATCCCTGCCCAGAGGCCCAAGAGGAACCATTACTCAAAGGTAGAGGAGTGATCAGTTTCCCAGCCGTCCCCTGCTGGAAGGGCTGCTCCCAGCCACAAATCTAATGTGTATCACATGGCAGCAAGCAGTCAGAGACGGTGGGCTGGGCTCACAAAGAGGAGATCCGCTTCGTCCACAGGGCCAGGAAACTGCCTGGCACATGGTAGGAGCTCAAGAAATAGTCATCAAATAAACTAAGAAGACGGGACTAGAGAGTGGGGGGGAGGGGCGCCCAGAGACGCCCACTCGAAAAGCCTCTTCCTGCTGCTCGCAGAACCTGCCAGGGAGACTGCAGAAGACCAGAAGCAAGGAACCAGTGAGGGACAAAAGGACAGCTCTCCTGACCATCCCCCCGGAGAGGCCCTCCAGGACACACCTGTCCACCCAGGGCAGGCCTCAGCACACCCAGCCCCTCTGCTCTCCCCCTCAAAGCTGACTGGACACTAGGGGTGCAGGGGAGGCCAAGAGGGCCACAGTGGAGCCCTCTCATGAAGCTTCAGGAAGCTGGGCCATCAGGTCCTGGGGGACCAGCAACAATAGCTGGTCTTTGGGGTGTAGGGGGGTGGCACTGATCAAGCCAAGCTGGCTCTCGATCAGGGTTCCCCAGCCTCAGCATCCTTCGGGCTGGTGGCTGTCCTAAGCACCGCAGGAGGTCCAGCAGCACCCTGGTCACTCCCCGCCCGGGAGCCAGGAGCACCTCCAGTCATGATCAGAAATGTCTGCAGGTGCTGCCAAACCTCACCTGGGACCAAAATCACCCCAGTTGAGAACCACTGCCCCAAACACTTGCCACAAAGAGCACAGTACAGAGTGGCCCTTTGTCACTTGTCAATGTCCCATGCACTTAGTCTGTCACTACAGTAGACACCTGCAGTGCAAAGGTGCTCTGTGTCACCCGACGGCAGCCCTTCACACCGACAGGCACCGTGGCCCACTGGGGACTCCCAGCACCCAGCACTCCCTCCAGAGCCAAACTCCTCACCTGAGCCCTTCCAGCAGATCAAAGGTCCCTTGGTCAGCGTGCCCTGGGCATTGCGGACCAGGTAGTACTTCAGGTGCTTCTGCTTCTTGGGCTGGGTGGTCAGCTTCAGGTTTATGTGATTGGAGAAGTCCGTGAAGTAGCAGAAGCCCTTCTTTCCACAGCCCACGCAGTTCCCAGAGAAACCTGGGGGGGGGGGGATGAGCCGTGAGCCTCTCCCACTTACCTCTAATGTCCTCTTCAAATGACACCTGGTTCATCAAAACCAGAATATTCACATCTGTACCACCAGCCAGAGAATGCCAAGAGGCAAAGGCCCGACCATGTCAGACCAGCCCAGGGGCCAAGGCGGCCATGACTCAAATGGAAGGGTGAGAAGACCTCGCCCGGGAGTGGGGACATGGGCCTGGCAAGCTTGGAAGAGTGTGTGTGTGTGTGTGTGTGTGTGTGTGTGTGTGTGTGTGTGTGTTTTAGTTACGGGGGCACTCTACAACTGAGCTACATCTCCAGTTCTTTGTTTTTATTTTGAGACAAGGTCTCAGTAAGTTGCCAGGCTGGCCTCAAACTCGYAAGCCTCCTGCCCCAGCCTCCCAAGTCACTGGCAATGTAGACATGAGCCACCATGCCTAGCTGAAGGGCATATATGAAACCTATCTGTGGAGCAAACTCTGAAGAAGAAGAACAGTCCCACTCAACCCTCTTCGGGGATGGAGTGAGTAACAGCTTCACTCCCTTGGCACTGGCCAGGTACAGAATCTCCAAGCAATTAGCCAACTGAGCCTGGATACAGTGGAGACCTCCTGGGTCCTAGCACCCATCCTGGACTGGAGCTGAGCCAACGAGTTGCCAAAAAGAATCAGAGAGCCCCATGATGCACAGGGGGGACCCTGGGATTCCCGCCATCAAATGAAGGCACTCCACAGGAAGGTGGCCATCTGTGGTGTCAGCATCCTCCTGCCTGGCTGGACAGGCCTTTCCGGGAGGTGACGGACATTCCCATGGGCTCTGACACTCTGGTCAGGCCTCTGGGCAGTGTGATGACGGGAACCTCCTCATGTGAATGGTTAGTGTCCAGAGCGCGAGTGTGAAAAGACCTTCACGAACTCTGAAGCCCCCTGGAACTGCACTCGTGAAAGTGCGGGTCGGTGGGAGACTCCTCTCTGACCTGTCCCTCCTTGAACTACCACAGGACCTTGCTCTACCCACTGAGACGTCTGGTTTCTATGAGTCCAAGGTCCTCCGCTAGAGGAGACCCTGGAGCTGAGACAGATTTATTCTGTCCTGTTATCTGGCTGACACGTCTACAAAGGTCACAGAACATCTTAGACAGCAGATGCGTGTGTCTCTGCACAGCTCTGCCCTTAGTCTCCCTGGGCCTTGGGCTAGGTCCCAGTACTCCCAGGGAGTGAAGGTTAAAACACTCCACAGCCAATAAGACATTCCCATCAGAGTCTCTGGTCTGCCTGTTTTAAGTTAATGTAATGTTCCTCAAAAGGCCTTAGGAATGAGGACAAATTTCTCAGCCTGGCCGCARGCCAGCTCCAGGCAACCCACCCTCCACCATCCTATCCCCCAGCACCAGCACAAACAGACAAGGCACCAGGACATTAAACCACTGTATTCCATATTTACTTGTTTTTTATGGGACAGGGAACTGATGTGCAGAGAGCCAAGGCGTCCTGGCCACTCCTCTTCAGCACACAGGACGCTCAGCTGAACTGACCCCAGTCAGTACAGAAAGCAAACCCCACGCAAAACTGGAGAACCCAAGGGCTGGAGGTTCCTGCTGGGGGCTGACCTCCAGATAGGGGGACTGTTCCTGCCAAGTACTGCACCACAGGGGGCTCTGCAAACAGATCTCCCGGTACTCCCCACTCCCCAGCCGCACCGCACGGTGGGGTCCTCCTGCGTCTGTCTAACAGGCACATCCTAAACGGATGCCAGCAGGCGTAGGACAGGACACAGAACGCAGTGCTGCTCCTGGGCCTCTGCTCCCTCTCTCACAGTGGACCTTGCACAAATTGGAAGTCAGAGGGGCCTGGGTTCAATTTTTGACTTGAGGCCTGTGGCTCTGGGCAAGTTAATGATCATCTCTGAGATTTAATTTCCTCATCTGAATACTATACGACAAGGGCTCACCCCGCTGCACTAAGCACTTGACATGATACACCTTCTCTTCAGACCCTCAGGAAGCCCCCCTAAACTGCAGTTCATGGTAGTGTCTCCACTTCATAGATGAGGGACTCCAGGCTCAGAGAGGAGCCCACAGGTACAGACAGGAAGTGCTGGGCTGGGACTAGCACTCTGCTAAGCCACCTCCCCCAAGAATTCATGTGGGAAGAGCACTTCAAGTGTCAAGTGCAAGCTCGGGCGTCCGGGTGTTTAGAGGTCTAGAGGTATAGAAGTCCCAGAGCTCTCTCTAGGACTCAGCTGTATTAGGCAGGAGAGCGCAGCTGGGCTCCGGAGACGCCCTGAAGCACATGAGATAAGGGGAATGCGGCTTGGTCTCTCTGGCTTTAAGGCTAGTGCTAATAGCTCAGTACTTCCGTCCAGAACCAGCTATCCACAGGTGGCTTCCTTTGAACKTGGTGGGAGGTCTCCAAGCTCACAGCTTATGGCCCACTGACACCTGCCATTTCCTTCTTGAATCAGCCTCAGGAGGCCTCCAGGACAGCCACCACATGAGTCATGAGTGACAGGCACAGCCCCCCAGGAGTGCTGCCTCACCTGTGCTTTCCTGGCAGTGTGGGTGCTCAGAACGGCCTTGACCTTGGCAGTTACTGCAGTGTAGATGGCCACGGGGCCAGCTCATCCAGCCTCCGTGAAATGATACACACATGGCAGACCTTTTTGATTACAGAAATGTCAGGAGCACTCATTGGAAGAAAATTACTTGGAYTTAAACCAGGTGCTCTGGGGAAAACACAGATTAAAACTCATGGCACCTGAGTGTCAGGAGGAAGAGACAGACACAACTGAAGGACTCCTGACCAGGGCAGTGACAACAGCAGCTCCGCCCACCTGGGCCAGCCTGTCCTCCAGCAGCAGTCAGGTAGAGCYCGCGTCACCGTCCCCACTGGAGCTGGAGCAGCTGAGGTTCCGAGAGAGAAAGCAGGTCCCTGCTAATCTAACCCTTGTTTTTCTAGCATGATGGGCTGTGGGGAGGAAGAGGAAAGGGCCCAGAGAGATTCAGGAGGGACTCCAGGAGGACATGCTGGCCAGCAGGATCTGAACTGGACCTCAACAGGGCTCCTGCGCTCCTTCCAAGGAATGAACGGTTCCAGGTGGCACACACTCTGCCCGGCAAGCTCAASGGCCACCCTCCAGGTCCCTGGAAATGAACAGGGCAAATCCAGCACTGTCCTGGTCCCCGCAGCAGGTGGAGTGGAGAAGCAGCACCCAGCACCTGTCTGCAGTGTAATCAGCAGCTCCTCAGATTTACCTAAGTCCCCACCAGGGTGGTGAGTGAAGACAACTGGCCAAAAAATAATAATAATAAAAAAAGGATACTTCCTTTCAGGAGGTGGGATTCGGGCAATTTGTCCTTTTTCGTTTTTAATTTTGGGATTTCCACCATCTCTACCACCATCCTGTTTGTGGAGGTAAAGATGGCTTAACAAGTGAGGGGAAAAATTGCCCAGAGCTCGTGCCTTGATTATGTTGACCAAATCCCAACCAAGTGGAGCAACGCCCCTTGGCCAGGAAAGCACACGGAGCCAGTCGGATTCCAGATGAGACAGGAGCCCAGCTGGGATGGAGGGGGACAAAACCCAGAGGCCCCAGCTATCTCAGATCCTCGCCAGCTCAAGACTCGGCCCCCTGCCTAGTTTTCTCTTTTGATCAAAATCATGTATGTGGGTGAGAGCCAAGAGGACAGCAAATGCAAAGATTAAAACAAAGCAACCRCCTTATTTTACACCTCCGTTGTTTCTTAAAAGTATAAACCAAAAGGCGAACACAAGGAAGAAGGACCTGTAGATTAAGATTGAAGAAACCAATCAACCATATGCTTTAAGAGAACCTTGTTTGGGTCTTAATTTTAAAAAAAAAAACATTAAAAAAAAAGGTGTAAGATAAAATTAGAACACACCAGATATTTGTCAATATTAAAGAATGCTGTTAAATGTTTTGATATGCCTTGGGTTCAAACCCTAGCACTACACACACACACACAAAAAAAAATTCTATGATAATGGTACTGAATCTCCAACAAAACCCCTGTCTTTTAGAGATAGATAACACACTGAATTATTTACAGATGAAATGATACAATGTCTGGGATTTACTTTAAAGTCACCCTGGAGGGRGGAGGAGGCAGAGTTCTGAATCACACAGCACCGGTCACTGTTGCAGGGAAAGCGCATGTTTTGCTGACCCACTCCTCTCTCCACTGCTGCAATTTGAACAGTCTTCCTTCAAATCACCGTTTCCAAGCAGAACCCAACTAAAACCCCCAGCTCCAGCTCCAGCCTCTGCCTGTGAGCCACGCTCTGGGCACGGGGAGCTCTAGCCGTCTCWCCAGCATGCCAAGTTCTTCATAACATGGTTCCCTCGGACCCAGATAGCCTTCATCCCCTAGGATGTGAGCACTAGGACCAGATGGAGGGATTCAAGTTCAGGATCTGCCAGKTACAGCCTGGGTGACCCTAAGCCTGTCAGTCAACCTGTCTGAGCCTTCACTGCTTCATATTAACCCTAGATTTGAATGAGCCACCTCACTTTATGTTAACCTACTTGGAACAGTTTCTAACCAGGATAAATCCTGGATAAACACTAGCTGCAATTAGCATTTAGCTGCTACTATTATTCTCAGGGCCCAGCTCAAACCCCACCTCCTCTGAAACACGTTTCCCATCACCAGCTTATGTGTGACCTTCAACACCCCCATGACCTTCAACAGTACCACAGCCCTCTATGAGACCCCACACAAAGACAGGCTCTAAGACCTGGTGACCTGTTGGTTTGTCCTGGACCTCGGAGCTGGTTCTCCATTTGCCTGAGTCTCCCCCCACTCTGGGAGTTCAGAAGAGAAGGGCGGGGTCCCACGTGGCCCTAGGCAGAGCAGAAAGGCCAGCCCTAAATCTGAGGTTAAAAATTCAATAAATACTTGCTTAATTRCTTACCTACTAACTGAACAAAGAATTCATTTCCTTCTATGTATGAAATGAAGATTCTAGCAAGACACGTTTTCTTCTCTTACCTCTAAGCTATCGGCTAATTTAGGTGAATGACTAGAAAAAAACCTGGAAGACACCCTGGATTTTACCTCTCAGCATTCAGATAAAATCCTCCGTGGACTCAAAGTCACTGAAGCAAGACACTCCTGACACAATAGCTTCCTCTAGATAGCCCACCGCGGCCTCCGCTTTATAGGTCACTAAAAAGCACTGAACCAGCCCTGGGGGCTTGGGGACCCCCTCCCCTTGCAGCATTGGGGTTAACTGCAGGAAACCTAACAGTAGGAAGTGTGCAAGCTGAGAGCCCTGCGGTTTCCAAAGAGGGAAAGTGTGGGTTATTACCACCAGCCTTGCGACCCTCCTGCATGGCTTTTTGCAGGCAATTAACAAAGATCCACTTCCTGGGCACTCGCCCACCCCTGGAGGAGCCAGGAGATCCCCGCCTCCAGCTCCAGAGGCAGAACCTCCTGGGTTTACTACCCTGGAAATTCTCTCAAGCACAAAGTGGTGGAATGCAGACAGATCCCCAGCCGCAAGCACATCAAACGCCAAGGTGGGGTGGGGCGCCATCTCCCCGCCACGTGTGCACCCCGCCACCTCGTGAAGCAAACGCAGCCCGAGGTTCAATCAGCTTCTTGGGTAGAGTGACTTTCCTGAGATTATTCCTGGTGTAAAGAACTACTAAGGATGGCTGGCTGAAACTTGAGCTCTCTTGTCACTGTCACCGTCCCCAGGTGGTGCTGCCTCCTGAGTGCTCCCCAGGTGATCCCGACTGTCTCCCTCTCCATCCTTCACTCCTTGCACAGCTCCACCCACAGCAGGCTCAATAAACACCTCAGAAACACGGTGACCTCCCCAGCCATGGGGCCACATCAAACATAAAACCAGAGGTTTCAAAGGCTGATACGTGTGGGAAATAAGGGAGAAGTTGTGAGGCCCATAAGTTCCACACTCAAACTCACTTCTACCATGAAGACTGCTCTGYGGCTCCACCTGAAGGTAGATCCTCACCAAGCTTTCCACGCTCAGCTCACCTCCAAAGGAGACTCCGGCCAGGTGAAGGGCCAGACCCAAGGACACAGGGCAAGGACAGACGGGCAAAGGCCCTCCAGGAACACATGTGAAAACCCCCCACCCTCTCGTGGACRAGGACACAAGGCCCAGAGGCCACCTGTGGTCAGACTCAGGACTAGAACCCAGATCTSTAGGTCTCAGCCCAAACCTCGGATCTCCCCCGACTTCACTCCCCATCAGGGAGGAAGCAGAGGGGACCTGGCACACAGCGAGAGCACAGTGACGTCAATGGACAAGCAGAAGCCAGGTGTGGGGAGGCCTGGCCCCAGCTCCACACTGAGGTCAGACAGGAGCTCAGCGGGCCAGGGAGTATCCCAAAGATTGAAGCCTAGAGGAGGGCGAGCCCCAGACGAGAGCTGCCCCACCAAGCCCGGGCCAGGGGCAGTTAAGGGCYGGACTTGGAGCCAGGAAAGCGTGAGTCTGGGGCTGGCTTTGTCTCCTTTCCCCATGTGCCCTGGGCAAGTGAGTGAACCAGGCCAGGTTCTACAAAACTGGGACAATAAAGGCCACTTCCAAGGCTGAGGACCGATGGAGGGACAGCAGCTAATCAAGACGCCTGCCTCCTGAAGGCAAGAACCTGAGCTCGGCTTCGGTCTCCCACCTCCTGTCAGCTGGTTTCTGAAAGTGTCAAGGACAGGGTCGTGACCACTGCTGACAAGGGGCACTGGAAGGACAAACATGTGATAAACTCGATACTGAATGGTGGCCTTAAAGACAGTGGAATGAATCGGACCTAACTCTCCCGGGTTCAGATAAGAATACGTACAACCACAGAAGGGGAGGYTAGATTCCATGCATGGACGCTACGTCAAAATACATTCTRCTGTCACGTAGGACTAAAAACAACAAATAGAAAAAAAWTKTTTTWAATGGTGGCCTTCCCATAGGGAGGTTGTCACATTTTAAGTAAATCCTACTTTTAAYCCGGCCACAAAGAAATCACCTACCAAAAGGCGTCATCAGAGTCATCTGACATCCAAGACAGCCCCCCACCACCACGGCGGCCACCAGCCAAGGCCTCCTTGGTCCCTGCCCCACCCCACACCGCCAGAGCCACACACAGGGGCAGAGAGGAACTCACCCAGCAGAGCGTTGTGGCCATTGTCGTCCGGCAAGAACCGCTTGTCAACCGCACACACCAGGAGATGGTCCGGCAGGCTGGGGGACTTGGCCCCCACCAGCAGGAAGCCTGCGGGGACGTCGACGGGCTCGCTGGACATGGAGACGAGGCGCAGGTCCTTCCCGGCCTGGCAGAACCCTGGGAGGGTGGATGAGCTCACACACTGCCCAGGACACCCCAGAACCAGAAGCAAAAAGCCGGGGTCCCCGCGGGTCTTCTCAGGAACGGCCCTCCCCTCTAGGCTAGAATTCCCAATTCATCAGCTCTGAGGACAACACGATGACCGTGCCTATTCCTGAAGCTGGTGGAATTCACTGTCTATCAGAGGTCACCAGGTAATGCCCATGAATATGAAGACGAAGCTCAACAGGAAGAAATTCAAGCAAATAAGGACAAAGAAAGACGGAGACGAGACGAAGTCATAAGCAGTTGAGAGCAATGGATAGTCTTGCCTGCTGCCCTCAACAGGGTGAGGGGTGGCCAGGCCTGGGAGGAAGTGGGACCTGGGCTCCCCAGCTCCTGTTGGAGGGAACCCGGAGCCTGGACACACAGAGGGCTCAGGACCAGAGAGACTGTCCTCTGTCTCTTTGGAACCTTTGTTTCAGAACCTGAAAGTCTATTTCCTATTCAAAACTGAATCTCCAAAACTATGTGAACCAAAAATAAAGAAGAGGAAGCAGCTGGGGTTGATCTGGCCCTGGCCCTCCAGGGCCTTGCTCTGGATAGGGACCCCGGCCAACCTCCTGCTGCCATCACCACCCCCCGACAGGAGGACCCAGAGCCGGCGGCCTTCCCACAGACCATGCAGCAGTTCAAGGGGCTCCGGGCTTCCCGCCAAGGTGGTCTCCTGCTGGAGAGGAGCAGGCTGTGCCCAAGCCGGGGAGCTTCCCTCCTCCACTCGGAAGGTGGCCATGGTGGCACAGGACTCAGAGAGTTGACTCTGGGAAGACCTCTCCTGTGACCCCTGGAGGGCTCATCACCCTCTCCTGTCACCCAGAGGACAATGTCCTAACTCATGGACAGCCACCATCCTGACCTCTCCACTCCCAGAGTCGCTCTGCAGAGGGAGACCAGGCCTGCCCCTGCTGGCGGTGACCTTGCTCCGGGTCAAGTCCAGGCTCCCAGTGGGCTACATGGGGCCGCCACAACCAGGTCTGATCACTTCTCTAAGCCCAACCCCACCAYCCCTCAGGCTAAATGGTCTGCACTTCCTGTAAGCTCTGCACACTCTGTTTCATCCCTGGGGAATCTCCCAGATCCTCCCACCCTATCTCCTGGCTAACTCCTACTAATCTTCCGAAGCCCAGATAAAGGACTGCCTCCTCCAGGGAGCCCCCCCAGACTCGCTACCTGCATTCGGAACCTTTCCTCTGCCCCCACGCAGGGCAGCTTGCCCCCAATGCAGCATTAGCTCAGTGGTGCTGACCAGCAGCGAGCTCTTAGATCATTTATGTCTGAATTCCCACAGCAAGGGCTCAATAATAGTTCATTTGCCGATTMAGTAATCACTGACTCCCCTTTGCTGACACAGTGACAGTAGAGATGAATGCAGTCACAGAGAAGTTGTCCAACAGTGAGTGGCAGAGCCAGAAGAGGGTAGCAAGCCTGTCCGAATGCAGAGTGGAAGCCTTTACCCGGGGCCTAGATGCCACCCCACTCAGCATCTCCTGGCCTCAGATCTGCAGCAGCAAGATGGGAATACCCCTGCTGATTTCACCTTAGGAATTCCTAGGGTAACATTTGTCTACTTGTTCAACAGTGACGTCCTCACAGACATGGAAAATGATTCCTACTAAACAGTTCTGAGTTAAGTATGCTGGACAGGCAGGCCTGAGCAGGCAATGTATTCTAGTCTTTGAAAAAACAACCCAGAAAAATGGATTGCTGGGACCCCAGCCATTCTCCAGGTGGAGGCTGTCTGGAGAGGCTGGGCTGAGGGGCTGTGAGCCGACTCACTRTCCTGCAGCCCGGGCTGACCAGGCACAGCTCACAGGGGTACAGGGTAGCCAAAGAGACTCCTGTGGCCTGGAACGGCCCAGCTCCAGGTTCTGGGCAGTGGACAGGGCGCTGTCCAGGGGAGGCAGAGCCTTACCATCCGTGGTGCAGCAGCCTTCGGGTGCAGGRGGCAGCTGGTAGGGATTGGGGGGACCATTGGGGTCTGGTCCTCCTTCCCCCTCTTCCTCTTCTTCCTCATTGTCCACTCGGCTGCCACCTGCACATGGGAAAGAAGAGCCAAGTTGTGTGAGGCAGCTGCTTCCTGCGGGGCCTTTCATCGCCCCGGAGCSTCGGGATCACATCGCTACAGGACCTGGGGGACTAATCCGAGGAGTGCCACGTGTCACCTACTGCACTCAACAATCCTGGTGGCCTCAGAACTCACCAGTCCTTACTAACACTCAGAGCCGGGCCAGGTGAGCCTTCACCAGAAGGAAAAGCCAAGCTTCTAGGGACGGGAAACCCCACCCACGGTCAGGCTGCAGACACAAGGCTGGGAGCCTGGCCTGGGGCTTAAAGTTCAAGTTCACTCCTCTTCCACCTGACACAGCTGCACACGTGCTTGGCTTTAATACGAAAGCAATTGCTTGGTGAGGACTGAGCCCAGAGGCTATACATGGTAAGCATTCCAAAAACACTTGTGTGGGAGGAACCATGAAGGAACATGCAGACCTTCTTACAAGTGAGGAAACTGAGGCTCGGGGCATCCGATGATCAGCCCACTGCTGTTTAACAGCTAAGCAGCACAGCCCGAGTGTTCCCAGGGTGTCTGATACCTAAGCTTGTGTTCTTGCTGCTAAACCGCACTGCTTATTTAGACTATGGAAACATAAGTAGTGTGAGCTCCCTTAACCTGGCACGAAGGAGCAGCTTATTTATCACCACGGGATGAATGCTCATGTACCGCGCGAGAAATGCAAACACGACCAAACTTGTCACATGCCTAGGCAGGAAAAGAGGCATTCCAGAACATTCTAGAACAAGACCAGGCATGCGGTGGCTTTAGGAGACTCTACTCTTCACATGAAATAGTATTTCAGGGGGAATGCAGCAGAGCCCAGAACTGGTGATGGAAATTTCACCACTACCTGGCAGAGCTCACTCCCCTCTGCACTACAGAYGCCCAGAGAAAAGCCTGGCGCAGACGCAGACTCAGGAAAGGGCTGCCGCTCCCCGAGCATGCTGTCGCTCCTCACCAGCCAACTAATTTTTAAGCCTTTGAAGTTTATCCTTCCAACTTCTTTTCATTGAAACATTTTGGGTAAAAACCTCTCTCAACATGTCTATTTTTCAATGCCATGAGTAGACAGCAGACAGATTTCTTCATGGAAGAGGGTCATTATGAACCTTTAAATATTCCAAACTAGGATACGGTTTCTTCTCCTTTTGTTTCTCTGTCTCTCTTTTATGCTATTTCTTTGTGACCATGTCTCTCCTTACTTGGCTCTAGACCCTCTATCCATCCAGCGGTTTTAGGCTAATAAATGAAATCATGTGTAGAAAGCAATTAGACTGGGAACCTAGGAACTTAAGTCTCAGTACTTGGGTTGCTGTGGCCTGTGTGGCCACAGGACAGTTACTTAACCTCTCTACGCATCAGACCCTGCATCTTTAAAATGAGGTGGTTACCAGATGAAACCTAGGGATACTTTGAGCTGTGGTGGCCTACAGAACTGCACAKAAGGGTCCAGACATGATTCGGCCACAACAGAGTCTGGGAATATAACCTCAYAGTGGGACCATTTTAAAGCTGCCTATGGGTCGAGAGGCAGAGGCAGCCAAACATTTTATGCAGATGGAAGTTGTGACTTGGGAAGGTCTCAGTAGCAAATGCAGCAAGAATTCCTGGTGCCTGGGTCCTTCCCGGCCCAGGGACACAGGTGGAGGGGGTCTGTACAAGGGGTAGCCCTGGAAGAGCAAGAGAAGCAGATAGAGATCCAGTCCCAGGCTCAGGCCCCGCATGGACCTGGTGGCACAGGGTCGGCCTGCRATGGGACGCTGTCTCTGAGCCGGCTCTCCAGCGACTTGGAGGCTGGCAGAGCCCCCTGAGCTTCAGAGTGGAAGCGGAGGAAGACCCTGGGAGCCTTAATCCAGCTCCCCTGAAACAACATCGAGGGCTCCGCCCGGCCGCCCGCCCGCAGGAATGGCTGCTAGGCTGAGAGCAAGAATGCAGACTCAGGAAGAATGAGAGGAGGGTCTTAAGAGGGTCAAAGAAACAGCTCCAAATCCCGTCAGTGAGAAAGCAGGATTATAGGTCAAAGGTCTCTCCCTCAGACATTCCAGGGCCTTTGATGGGACCCTCTGGCAGCCACAGGGTGAGGAGCCACCGGCTCAGCAGACTAACTAAACCTGACATGTTTACTGAAGGCTCCTGGCAGGATGAGCTCTAAAGTGGCTTCAGACCTGACGAATTTACTGAGGGCTCCTGGCAGGAYGAGCTCTAAAGTGGTTTCAGACAAAACCAACAGGGTTGAGGGCTTAGGATGGCGATAATAAAACACAGGGACCCAAGTGCCCCATGGCGCCCGGACTCCACGGAGCAGGCGGCTGATTCACTGGAATGTCTGCATTCAATTCCGTTCTTTCTGGGAGAAGAAACCCCACGGCATTTCACTCGGGAGGGACTGCGGGGCTCACCTGCATCCCGTTTAACTTATAAATACTTATCCCATAGTGCTCGGGGGTGTCTTTTTTGTTAGTGTTTCTTTATAAAAAGTGGATAATGTGTAAAAAGGGTTTTCCCCCAGACGGAGATGGTGGGTAGGAGCCCTAATTCGAAGTAATAAGGCCCCTGCTAAATCGCCCTCACAAACAGATAAATGTCAACCCATCCCAGGGGTGTTTAGAACACCAGCACCCGGGTCATAAAAATCATCTCTAATGCCATTGTCTGAGGAAGGCCAGCAATAAGATAAGCGACCCTGACRGAGAGACAGACAGACAAAACAAGACAAGGCGTGTGGGCCGTCGGTGCCAAGGTTGACCTTGCAGAAGCTAAATGACATTCAGCTGAAGAGTCTCCCCCACCGCCAACCCCTCATCGACTCCTGCACTGGAAGAACAACAAGCAAGGCTCTGCTTCTGACAGGGGAGAGCACAGGGAGGTGGGGGGGGGTGCATGCCACGTGGAGGCTGAGCCCCAATCTCCAAGTGAGCCTCARGGCTGTCCCTGGGGGCTGGGGCTCAGTGACAGAGACTTGCCCAGCCTGTGCAAGGCCCTGGGGTCCATGCCCAGCACTRCAAGGAGAAGGAGAAGCTGTCCCTGAAAAGTGCCACATGCTGAACAGAAACAGAGGGTCTGGAGACGGAGAAATCCCTGAACAACAGGAAAAGCCGGCGGGGACCCCCAGGGGCTTTCTGCTCCTCTCCCTGTCCCCACAAGAGCAGCCCCCTGACAAGGAGATCTGCCCGCTGGCCTGGCTGTCCCCTTTTCATTTCAGAGCTGGGGCACTCCTTCTAAATGTCCAGTGAACCCATCCTCCTTTTTCCCAGGTCCTGGGACTCAATACTTCAGGAGGCAAATGCATTCTAGATCCAAATGCACCAATTAGGATCGCTATTGCTATTACTAATTTAACATCAGCAACAAAGCTTTGCACTACTACGAGTAGTTAAGGAGGAGCGTGGGATACGTATTTCACAAAGGTCTTTGGGCTGGCCAAAAACAAGGTGTGTAGGATGGTYTCTAGAGATTTCTCCACGACATCAGAGTAAGATTTCAGGACATGCCAGAGGAATGTGATTCTGTATGAATAACAAAGATCTTATGGTTTTTGTAATTCATAGTTTGCAACTGTGAGTCCAAGGTTTTTCCTAGCCCCAGAACCAGCTCTTTGAGGTCCTTAGCCATGCCATTTTAGGTCCTCAGCTGTGCCATTTGCAAGGTTAATTTACTGAGCACGTTTTAAACAGTGACCCGAGAGGCAGCTATGAGATGTCACACAGCCCTGCAATAGGCCCCTCAAGGTGAGCACCTGACGACTCGTTCTTTAGTGCAACCTCCACAGCGACTGTCCCCATGCCCACCCGTCTCTCTCTCACCCAACACAAACTCACACTCACACACACCAAGTCCCACCCGGCACAAGCCCTGGCACACTGCAGGCTTTCTGGTTCAGTCAGTTGATTCACTTCTGCTTTCATCCACGGCCCCCCCCACCGCCCCCCACCCCCGCCTCAGGAGCTACGTGAGGTTTGTGGARCGCCGTCTCACGCTGGGGTTGCTGCGGGGTTGCTGTTCACGTGAAAATGTGCCACTACAGAAACACAACCATTTTGTTTCCTGGATAGCTAAGCAAACCCTAGAGTCACCCAAGCCTAAAGATATGTATGTCTTTATTCTTGGCACATAATAAATTTGTAAAGGTCTCTTCTTGGCTTTTGAAAGTTTCTAGAGGGCTCTTGAGCCTGCGGTAACAAGGAGAAACTACCTGGATTGTTTGGCAAAGACACAACATGAAGAGAAAAAAAAAACATACATGTAGCAGAGGGCCACTGCATGCTAAAATTCCCTGCTTATCAAAGCAGAACTGTCGAACCCTCTAACAAGGGAATAAGCGCCCCATTTCAGAACCGTCCAGCACAGCCCTCTCCCTTTCCCCTATCAATCCCATCAACCATTTCATTCCTGCAACTTTATAGCTGAAGCGTGTCTCAGCGTTAGCCCAGCAAGAACTCGTGTGCAACTCTCTTCAGCTCTTTGCTGCTAGACTCTCCACGTACACAGGGCACAAGAGGGGCTCCACGTTCTGTCGCTAATACTAAGGCACAACAGAAACWCAGCAGAGAAGAAGGCACGGCTCCTACCTTCCAGGGAGGAGAGCTGCTGCTCGGCCTCCAGGTAGAGCTGGGAGAAGACRGGCCGGGGCACCAGGTTGTTGGAGCGCAGGGAGGCCTCGATGGAGTTGTGCAGCACCTCCTCGAACCGCGTGGCCTTCAGCTGCCCGGCGTAGGAGTTCCCCATCTTCTAAAGAAAGGAAGGAGTCTTCGGGTTAGAACGGCATTTCGGTTTCAGTGAGAAAGGCCGACTCTACACGAAGCCCAGGGCGGGTGGCCAGGCAGCCACCAGGAGGGAAGGGCCCTGTRGCCTCTGCTCAGCAGAGACCCGAGGGGGCGGCTCTCCCAGCTCATCTACTGCCGGCAATTACAGGAAGCTATAAAGCAATGGCTTTCTCTAATYCAGCACTCCCGGAGCCCGGCACCCTAGACTACTCCCCCAGAAACTGCCCCTAGCCATCCCCACCTTTCCCAGAGACCAGACCCTGCCCTTAGCAGACCCAGGACAAACAGTGTTTCATTTTCCATGACCCGACCAAGAATGGCCCTTGGGCACTTTGCATAGGTGACCCATCCCCGCATCCTAGGGTGACAGGAGCCAGTCCCCGCCTTCTCCAGAAGCGGRCTAGACGATGCTCCATCATCACTGTTTTTAGTAAAAGCCTAATTATTCATGCTTCTCCTTTAAAAATGTTTTTTGGGTTTATTAGATGTTTCCATGCTACAAGTCGTACAGAATCACACCTGGAAACCTAGAAGACCTCCAAAGAGGGTAAGAAAATCACGGCTGTCTCCATCCCCCAAGATGACCGCTCTGATTTTTTTTTTTCTGTAGCAGCTTAAATGAGATAGAATTCACAGACCAAAGTACACACTCAGTGGTCTTCAGTAAATTCTCCGTGTCGCACAAGTACAATTTTAGAATATTTTATCACCTGACAAAGAGACCCCGTAGCTGTCACTCCCCAGCCCCTCCAGCCCCACACCACAATCATGTTCTGACAAAATGGCATCGTGCAGTGTGAGGCTCCTGACCGGCTTCTTGCACTGCGGACAGCGCTTCCAAGGCGGTCTGCGATGCCCCAAGAGTGAGACCGCATTCCCTGGGCGTCTCTGTTGTTGGCTTTTTATTTTGCTTTGGGTTTTTTGCAGCACTGAATGGAACCCCGGTCCGGGAACAGGCAAGGCCGGGGCTCCACCACGAAGCCCTGCTCCCAGCCCCTCCACTGCCAGGTTTCAGGGCATCGTCACCGACCTGATTCCCCTCAGAACCTGGGGTGGGAGGGGATGGGTCCCGTTCAGAGTGACAACCACRCTGTACTCGTATTGATTATTATCTCCCACCTGACGGAGCATTCACTCCACCTCTGAAAAATGCTTTTGATTGAAACAACTTTAAGGCTGCGTGACATTCCGCTGAGCAAGACTGCTGAGGTTTGCTATTAAATTTCATACAGGCTATTAAATTTCTGCTTTTAATCCTCCCCAAGAACAGCCATTTAAATGACGATACCTTCCTCMTGACATTTATTGTCTATTTCATTAAATTTAAGCTTTCATCATCTCTATTCCCTTGGGTTCCGGTTTTTGTACTTTTTGCWAGCTTTTTAAAGCATTTCTTTGTCACGTCCTTACTTTCCATCTATCCCTCAGCAAGGGAGACCCTGCTGCATCTACTGCCACACCTGGTCTCTAGGCCCCGCTCCTGCGACAGCACGTGCGGTTGGTACAAAGGATTCTTTTCATTTCTTCCCRGCTTGTGATCTCCTTTTGGGTCCCCTCCCTCTCTGATCCAGTAGTTATCTGACAGTGAGTGGGTTTTTTGTTTGTTTGGTTGGTTGGTTTGGTTTTGGTACTAGGGATTGAACCCAGGGTCGCTTAACCACTGAGCCACAATAGAGTCTTGCTAAGTTGCTGAGGCTGGCTTTGAACTTGTGATCCTCCTGCCCTAGCCTCCCAAGTGTGGGACTACAGGTGTGTGGACACCCGGCTTTGAGTATTTAATTTTTAAATAATGAAGACTTTGGTGGGGGGCTCAGTCTGATATAATTTTTTCTCTTTTTATTAAGTTATAATCAAGACTAACTTGATTATAGTAACTACACTTTTAAAACTTATTAACAGGGTCCTTTTTGAAACTGATACCTAATGGAGCTTTACAAATAGATTACAGACATTTGAAAAAAATTTATTCATTCTCTTCACGGGACAAAGGAAGATATGTGAGATTATTCAGTTCTTCTACACCCCTGTGTATTTCCTATCCGCTGTCCTCTTTATTTTTAAAGTAGCTTTTGACTTGCCCAACAGTACCGGGTGCCTGGGCTACTGCAGTGTGGGGCAGGGGAGCCCTGTGCCAGCCAGGGGGCTGCTTCCAACCAGGCAAAGGCTCGCACATCTCATCAACTCAAGAAGAAACAATAAATACATTCTCCTTCTCCTCGTGCCAACAGGGAGCAGAGCTGTTCCAAGATGTCACCCAGGGTGCCCCAAGGAGCTCTGGCAACCCCTACCCCCACCCCCACCCCGTGGGGGAAGGGAACTGGAGTGGCCACCGTCATTTTCTCTGTATTGTAAGGAATTCAGCCTCTTTTCTCCCAACTAACAGCCAACGGAAACCATTAACCACTTCCTGCTTGTGGCAATAATTCCTGCCCCAGGGCCCCTCAGCCAGCTCTGCTTACAGCCGGGAAATGAGCTGTTGGGAGGATTGCTCCAGGAATTAGCGCAACAAAGAGAAAGTGCTCCTGAGCCCCGAGGTCAGCGCTGTGACCAGAGGCCCCATCAGAAGCAGCTGCAGSTGTCTGCCAGTTTCCTTGATCTATCACCTTCTTCCAGACACTCTGAGGGGCTCCCAGCCACATGGGGGGACACATGCATGATGCTCAATTCAATTAATATCACAACAGTCTCCTGCTCTGAAGCATCCTGGTCAGAAGAGTGTCAGGCACACGGGCTCCTCCTGGGCCCCTTGCCAAGGAGCCTGGAATCCAGGCCCCGGCTGAAAGCGCATGGTCAGGGCTCCAGACCTACCTGCCAAGGTCCTGAAGGCTCGCCTGACAGAGATGGCCACCCAGAGCCAGAGGAGTCCACTAGAGCACACCAGTGCCCGAGGCAGATAGGTAGGAAAGGGGAGGAGAGCCAAGCCAGGGCCCCGGGAGGGGACCCTGGGAGCCATCTAGCGAGGATGGATCTGGCCCTGCAGGCACAGGCCTGGAGGAATCTTACTGGAAGAAAGGAGGAGGGAGGGAGGGAGGGTGGGGATGCACAAGCCAAAGGACAACAGCAGAGGACACTTTCACCTTCAGAAAGATGGAAGTCCCTCTTACAGCCTTCTACAAACAGTGTGGCGATAGTGCCCCAAGTGAACCGGGGCAGAAGAAGTGCACGCTGCGCCCCGTGGAYCTCACAACCACAGAGTCTCCCTGGTGCGCTCGAGCGGAGGAGCACGGAGGGYGGCATTGACTGCTGGGCCCTGTCTGTCATTCCCGACACACCAAGCAGAGCAGGAGCCTCCCACACCCACAGCCAGTGCCTGACTCACAGACAGGACCCGACCACAAGGCCACCCTGCCCGGCAAGGGAGGGCGGGGCCGGGAAGCCCAGGAGGGCTGAGGTAGAAGCACACCAGACCCGCGGCCTGCCAGGATCCGCACTGGCCCCACAGGGAGCTGAAGGCCCAGACAGAGAAGAGCCTGGTTCAGGGCCAACCCTGAACCCCTTAAGGCAGCCCYTGTGCGAGGCCTCCCTGGCCAATCTCCCCCGTGCCCGGGTCCCACCACTTGACCTGGCCCTCTGTGAGCTGCCCTAGGACTTCTTCTACCCCTGACACCTGTCCCCAGGACCTGCATTCCAAGGCAAAACCTGCTCCTCCCAGTCCGGGTACAGGGCCATCTTCAATGGCAGGATCAGAGCCCTGCCCAGCCCAGCAGAGACCACGGCACAGCACAGCCTCACCCAACGCCCAGAAGCCTGGCCCAGGCCACGTGTTTTTCTCCCCGGGGCCTCAGTGTTCTGGGCTACAAAATGGGCCCTTAGAGGACAGGCGGGTTGTCACGGAGACTGGACAATGTGTGGAAGTGCCCGGCACAGCACCGGGCAGTCCAAGTGTGACATGGACTTCTAGCTGAGTTCAAACATTCACTGGAAAAAATGAGAATTTCAGATCATAAGTGACAAGGGACAAAAGTGCCAGGTGCATACATGCTACCACTGAGGGGGGCAAGAAGTCAGCAAGACCTCAGGCCACCAGAGGAGCTGGTACTTGGAGCAGGTGAGTAAGGACAACGAGGACATTTTAGGGAAAATTCTGAGGCTTGCAGGTGAGAAAGGGACCAGACAGCGCAAAGGCATGAAGCTCCAAGGGAACAGACACACTCTAAGAAGTGAGGCCACCTGAGCAGCAGAAGTGGCTTACAAGATGGCACAGGGACAGGGTCATGAAAACACACCCCAGGGGGAAAATCAGACATTGCTTTTAACAGGCAACACACAGCCCTGAGCTGCGGAGCCAGCGATGGCAGCGATGACTGACCTGTTGTTGGCAGTCCATCTGACAGAGGTGTCTGGAGTAAAGCGGTTGCTTGATTTTAAGAGCGAGGCATGAAGGGAGGCTGAGACAGGAGGATCACAAGTTCAAAGCCAGCCTCAGCAACTTAGTGAAGCCCTAAGCAACTCAGTGAGACCCTGTCTCTAAATAAAATACAAAAAAAGGGCTCAGTGGGTAAGCAACCCTGGGTTCAATCCCCGGTTACTCCCCCAACAACAACAACAACAACAACAAAAAAGATGTAGGAAAAGTTACTTGGATCTCCCTGCGTGGGAAGCAGCTGGTTGGCTGAGGGGCCTCCCAGGAGTGTGCAGATGGGGGTCTTTTTCACCAAATCAACCTTGTCAGCCCTGTGTCAGCTCAAATCCCAGGAGCATGCTTCACCCCCACAGGCCCTCTGGACCCCATTAGCACCTGCAGACTCAACCAGATGGGGCAGGCTGGCCCAGGTGGATTCAAGTCACAAAGGTGACCCGTCTCGACATGCTCCGGATGGCTGGGACATCCAGCCCAAGTCATCCGCTTCCCACGGTGCCTATAAACTAAACTGCAAATCAAATCTTTAGGTTGCCTTGGAGCCTGAAGGAAGATGGAGAGTGATCCGAGGTGGGGACAGACACAGGTGTTCTCTCCGCTCCCTCCCAATCTGCCCGGAAAGGCCAGTGCAGGGAAACACAGCAGTAAACACACTGAGACAAAGAGGCCAGAGAGAAGATCATTGCAGTGAACGTGCCAGCGAAATCTAGAGGGTGCAAAGCAGAGAGGCGAGGCTAGACTTTGAGAGTGAGAACTAAAGCCCAGGGTTTAGTC